TATTCATGTCTTGTTTGTAATCGTTTGGAAACTTTTTGATTGATAATGAAATCGGATTTCGATCCCGTGGACGTACCTCACATTGAGGGAACCACGTAAAATTCTTGTGTTGCTTTTGATTTAATTTTTTCGCATTAGTTTTTATTCTCATTGATTGATTTACTTGTGGAGAATCATAGATTTTCACTAATAACTGGTATTAGAGCTTACGGTTTATTTGGGTTTATTTATTTGTGTAAATCAATGGAAGGGAATGTGGGTCGTATGTCTAGCTTCAATGGAAGCAATTGGGTAATTTAAAAAACTAAAATGGAGGACTTATTATTTTGTAAAGATTTGTATGGGCCTATTGAGGGTAATAGTGGCAAACCTGATGATATGAAAGATGATGAATAGAAGAGGCTTAATCGAAAAGCCGTTGGTGTTATCCGTCAATGGATTGATGACAGTGTGTTTCATCATATTGTTATTGAAACTCCAGTACATGATTTATGGAAAAAATTAGAAGGTATTTATGATAGGAAATAAGTCATAAATAAAGTTTTTTATTTCGTAAGTTGGTTAATTTAAAATATAAAGATGACAGCCCTATTCCAGAACATCTGAATGAAATAAAACAGTATTGTTAACCAACTAGCTTCTATGAAAATTATTTTTGATGATGAGTTGCAGGCTTTGATGCTACTTAGTTCTTTGTCCAAAAGTTGGGAGACTTTGGTTGTGACAATTAGTAATTTGGCGCCCGATGAAGTTGTCACAATGAGCCAATTCACTAGTAGCTTGTTGAATGAATAAACTAGAAGAAAATCAGCAGGTTCTTCTCATTCGGAAGCATTTTTTGTGAGAGGACGAAGCAAAACAAGAGAGAGGAGTAAGACTCCTCATGGTCGTGATCAAAGCCGTGACAAATCAAGAGATGGTTTTCTTTCAAAGAAAGACATTAAGTGCTATTATTTCCATGAGAAAGAGCACATGAAACGAGAAAGTCGAAAGCTCAAGAACAAGGAAAAAAGGCGTGACAAAAGTGTGGATAAGAAGCAAGAAGACACAACGGCGGTTGCTACCAATGGTGATCTTATGGTCGTTTGTGAAAATGATTGTATCAATTTTGTGGGCCAAGAGAGCAATTGAGTGATTGATTTCGATGCTTCTTTTCATGTGACTTCTCAAGTTGATTTCTTCACTACCTACACCGAAGGAGATTATGGATTTGTTCAAATGGGTAATGAATGTTTGTCCAAGATTATTGGTATGGGTGATGTTTGCTTGGAAACAAATTTGGGTTACAAGTTGTTGCTTAAAGATACGAGGCATATTCTCGACATTCGCCTCAATTTGATCTCTACCAGGAAGCTAGATGATAAAGGCAACAAATTTGGTGATGGAATATGAATGCTCACAAAGGGTTCTTTGGTAGTGGCTAATTGCAAAAAGACTTATACACTTTATTCGATGTAAGGAAAAATTTGTAAAGGTGTTATCAATGCACTTGAAGATGAAACTTCTACCGAATTGTGGCACAAGTGGCTTGGGCATATGAGTGAAAATGGGCTGCAAGTTTTGTTCAAGAAAGAGCTTCTACCCGGTTTGAAAGGTACACATCTTAAAACTTGTGTTCATTGTTTAGCGGGTAAACAACATAGAGTTTCTTTTCATAAAAATGTTGCTTCTAGAAAAGAAAATCTCTTGGAGTTGATTCATTTGGATGTTGGTGGTCCTTTAAAAGTTAGAACAAATAGTGGTGCACTTTATTTTATTACTTTCATTGATGATTATTCAAGGAAAGTTTGGGTTTTTATACTAAAAACTAAAGATCAAGTTCTAGAAGTATTTAAGCATTTTCAGGCTATGGTTAAAAGAGAAACATGGTAGAAATTGAAGTGCATCCGATCAGACAATGGTGGTGAATACATTAGGCCATTTGATGAGTATTATCGCAACCAAGGTATTCGGCACCAAAAGACAGTTAAGAAGACTCCTCAACAAAATGGTGTTGTTGAGAGGATGAACCGCACCATTGTGGAAAGAACAAGGTGTTTGCTTTCACAAGCCAAATTGCCAAGATCCTTTCGGGGTGAGGCAATGAGGACAGCAGTTGACGTGATCAATTTGTCTCCTTCCTATCCTTTGAATGGTGATGTTCCTGAAAGAGTTTGGACCGGTAAAGATGTGTCTTATGAGCACTTGAGAGTGTTTAGTTGTCGAGCTTTTGTTCACATTCCAAAGGATGAGAGGTCCAAGCTTGATAGTAAGTCAAGACAATGTATTTTCTTGGCTATGTGTGTGATGAATTCGGGTATAGATTGTGGGATCCAGTCGATAAGAAAGTCAATCGAAGCCATGACGTTGGGTTTCTTGAAGACCAAACAATTGAAGACTTTGGCAAAGGTGATTAACTGAAGCCAAAAACTAATAATCTCATTAACATGGATCCATCTTCCTCATCTTCAGTTGATGATGAAAATGGGGGATATGTGCAGCCACCCATTGAAGATGTAGATGATGATACTAATCCTAATGAAGTTGAGTTAGAAATTGAGGAAGAGCATCCAACTCAAGAACCGTCACCACAACTTGAGTTGAGGAAATCTACAAGGGATCGACAACCTTTAAGAAAGTATCTCCCCAAGGAATTTGTATTGATATCCGATCAAGGGGGGCCCGAGAGCTATCAAGAAGCAATTAAGCATGTAAAGAAGATAATTGGAAAAAGGCTATGGAAGAGGAGATGAATTCCTTACTTGAAAATCACATTTATGATTTAGTGAAGTTGCCTAAGGAGAGGAAAATTCTGAAAAATAAGTGGGTTTTCAAATTAAAGAATGATAGTAAAAATCTAAGGTACAAAGCACGTCTTATTGTGAAAGGCTTTGGGCAAAAGAAATGTATTGACTTTGATGAGATTTCTCGCCGGTTGTGAAGATGTCTTCTATTCAGGTTGTATTTGGCATGGCTGCAAGTATGAACCTTAAAGTTGAGCAACTTGATGTGAAGACCGCATTTCTTCATGGTGACCTTGAAGAAGAAATTTACGTGAAGCAACCGGAAGGTTTTGTAGAGAAAGGGAAAGAGAAATTTGTTTGCAAATTGAAGAAAAGTTTGTATGGTCTCAAGCAAGCTCCGTGGCAATGGTACAAAAAATTTGACTCTTTCATGATGAATAATGGTTTTTCTAAAACCACTTCGGACCATTGTGTGTTTGTGAAAAATTTTCCGGATGGAAAATTTATTATTCTTTTGCTTTATATTGATGACATATTAATTGTGAGTCAAGATTCTACCATGATTAACAGTTTGAAATTGGAGTTGAGCAAGTCTTTTGCTATGAAAGATTTGGGACCGGCAAAACAAATACTTGGTATGAAAATTGTTTGTGATCGCAAAGAGTGGCTGGTTTGGTTGTCTCAAGAAAGCTACGTTGAGAAAGTTCTTGAGAGGTTCAACATGGATAAACCAAAGCCGGTTAGTTGTCCACTTGCGGGTCACTTCAAGCTTAGTTCAAATCAATATCCTACAAGTGAAAAAACCAAGGAAGAGATGCAACAAATTCATTTTGCTTCAGCAATTGGTTCTTTAATGTACGCCATGGTTTATACAAGGCTGGATATTGCTCACGCCGTTGATGTGGTGAGTCGTTTTCTCTCTAATCCAGGTAAAAAATATTGGGTAGCGGTAAAATGGATTCTGAGATATTTTCGAGGGACTTCGAAGGTGTGTTTGTGTTTTGGGGATGGTAAGCCGATGCTTGATGGGTTCACAGATTCTGACATGATCGGTGATATTGATTTTAGGAAATCTACTTCGAGGTATTTGATGGCATTTACAGAGGGAGCTGTGGCATGGCAATCTAAATTACAAAAATGCTACCGAAACTGAATTTATTGCAATTATGGAAGCTTGCAAAGAAGAGTTACGGTTGATTAAATTTTTGTAAGAGTTGGGTTTGAAGCAAGAAAGGTATGTGTTTTATTGTGATAGTCAAAGTGCTATTCACTTGAGTAAAAATTTTACTTTTCATTCGAGATCGAAACACATTGATGTAAGGTACCATTAGATTTGTGATGTGTTAGATTCGAAATTGTTGCAACTCGAAAAGGTTCACACAAATGATAATATTTCGGATATGTTGACAAAGACTTTGTCGAGAGACAAACATTTAAAGTGTCGAACTTTGGCGGGTATGGTTGATGTCTCCACTTAAGTCGATAGGCGGAGAATTGTTGGGATATATCTCCCTAGTGGAGTATGAGACCCAATTAGTTTATTAAAAGAGTTTAATTTGGTTTGGTATTAGTTATAATATATTTTTATATATTATATCTAATTTGTTGAGGCTTAATTCAGTTTGGTAACAATTAAGATTTTGATAAAACAAGTCCGAGGTTTAACATTATATATATATATTGTTTTAGTCTTCCAAAAATTAGTTGTGTGGCTGCTATAACACCAACTCGGTGGCTGTGCTTTGTTCCATGTGTTGCTTGGAATATTTCATTGGTGCTTTTAAACATTGTGTTAGTGGATCTTCGATTGGTTGCTCTGATTTGGTTGATTTGGGTTAATTATTTTAGATCTTCTATAACTCTGGTTTAAAGATTTTTTGTTCATCTATTTGGTGAGATCTTTCCTCTTGTTTATTTGTGATTATTTGAAATTCACTTAAGGGTGGTTTGTGAGACCATTCGTATCTCGTTTGTAATTATTTGAAAACTTTTTGGTTGATAGTAAAATCGGATTTTGATTCCGTAGAAGTACCTCACATTGAGGGAATCACGTAAAATTCTTGTGTTGCTTTTGATTTAATTTTTCCACATTAATTTTTATTCTCATTGATTGATTTACTTGTGAGGAATCATCGATTTTCACTAACATTGATGGGTGCAGTGTGTGTCAAGTGTCTACTATATGGAGAAACTTTTGATATTGTGGTCAAAGTTTGTTAACATGATCATCTATAATGTTCATTCTGTGATAATACACAAAACTTTCAATGTTTGCAGCATATACCAACAAACTTCGTGAAGAGCTACATGGGAAAGGGTAGACGGAGTGTTACACTTGTTGTTTCAGATCATTCGTGGCCTGTGAAATTGATCAGATATACAAGAAAAATCGGAGGCATCTTTTCAGTTTAGCAGGGAAAACACACTAAAAGTAGGAGATGTTTGTGTGTTTGAGCTGATTGAGATAAATGATTTTGTTATGAAAGTTTCAATTTCCAGAGATGCATAGATTGAGCTGTTGTTGACTTTGTGGTTGATATGTTGTTTGATGAGAGCTAATCAGATACTTGTTGGAAAGAGCTTTGTGTTGAAGTAGTCAAGCTACTTTTGTTCTGTTGTATATCCCTTCCTATTTAATGAAATATTTTCTTGTTTTTTAACACTTTCTTTCAATGTGTTCAGTTTTTATTTATTTATTTATTTACATGATGAAACAGCTTTTAAAATTGTCTAGTGAAATTTGCGGGCTACATTTTGCAAGTTGCCATGCTGGGTTTATCATTTTGACAATTTTGGGTGAGTTTATCATCGGATTTGTATTGATTATTTGAATCACATTTATGTCTAAAAAATGTTTGATTTATTCTTCATGTTACCTCTGTTGTTCATTTATTAGATTTAGGGGTTTTTGGGTGCATTACAAAAGTGCATTTTTTTATCTTTTTTGAATTATGTTATTTTTTTACTTTTCTACAAATCTTTTTATAATAATCCTAAACAATCCTTATTTAAATTATTCTCGAGAGTATTACAGGTGCAACCTGCATGTGTTTGAGTCTAGCTCAAAAAATTTTAGAAGTTTTCGAGCGAACACTGGATTTGAAATTTTTTTTTGTATAGAAGTGAGGTAACTTCGTCTAGTTTACACCACGACCAATGTTATGAATCTCAAATATATTATTAAGGCGTTGTTTGGAGTGTTCTAAATAAGTGTATTTTTTGGACTAAAAAATTGAGAGAAAAAATATAGATATTTGGGTTAACTTTTTGATTTTTTATGAAAAAATGTGTATTAAAAAATTGTATAAAGAAGTGTGTAGGAGAAGATAGTGTAGTACGCCGTACGGATTGGCAGTGCAGGCAGCTTGGTGAATACATGGGAAAAGATTGCCTCATTTTCGAATTTTGATTGGACGGTGTTGTTCGGCTCGTGGGGGCCATCACGGGTCCCATTTTTCTAATCGGAACCGTTTAATGTGTAGAACTCGTCGAGTACTATATATTTGTAAAAAATCACGTTGATTGGATATCGATAACTATCCGATCGTGTTAGTTTTTTTTGTCAACTGTTAACTATAACACCATCTAATTTTTATACAAAACTGATTTGATCATGTAGTTAGCGATATCCGATAGGTGTGATTTTTTACAGACATATAGTGCTAGACGAATTCTACATCTTGAACGGTTCGGATTATCAAAACGGAACCCATGGTGGGCTTCCACGGGTCCAACTTTACCATCCAACTTAGTGAATGTACACATGCAATTTTTTTTTCCTTTCACTACAGCTGGCCTGACGTTAGTACATTAATGGGCCAAAAAGTTGATTTATATTTAATATTTATATATTAATTTTTTAATATTTTTTTTGATAAATAGTGATAACTTTTTAACATTTTAGATAATTTTTTTACTTTTTTTACACTTGTCAAACCAGTCCTAAATATTATATACAATACTCACATTCATTTAGAATTTACATTACACGAAACCATTTCTATGAGTATTATATAAAATATTTAATAATTTATTTGGGTCTAATATTTTTGTTACAGTACAATGTCTCAGTTCATTAGACTAAAGTTATTAAAACATAAAAGGTTATTAAAATTGAAATTTTGCATGAGATTGTTAGAGGTCTCGTGAATCAAATAATAAAATTGGATTCGACAATTGTAAAATTATACTGTATTTTTAATACAAAATAAAGTGTAAAATTATCAATCGTGATAATATATGTGAAATAATTTTAAAATCAATAAAAATAAATAATAAATTTAACATATATTATTTTATAGTGCTCAATAATAATATTATAATTGATAAAATCATCAAAAATATTGATTTTAGAGAAAATCAAAATTTTTTCCCTAAATAATTTTGTTCAAATAATAAATTACACAAAGGGAAACACTATGGTATTACATGTACCTTATAATTAAAGAAGAAAATGATATAATTTTATATTTTTTGAGTCATAATTAAAAAAAAAAATCATAACCGAACATTACAGACATTACAAAATATTTCATAAATTATAATTAAAGAAGAAAATAACATAATTAAAAATGCATATAATACACTCTTCTAAGGGGTGTATATAATAGAATTTCCCTTAGACAAATTCTGACGAGTGCCATGAAAAAAATTAGGGTAAATTACAAATATATCCCCTAAGGTTTTATTAAAATATAAATCGTCTCTTGTGGTTTTGAAAATTACATTCTACCCCCTGAAATTAATAATTTCATAACAAATTGCCTCTTTTATTAATAAGTTATTAAGTCAATTAATAGTTTTAATAATGTTAAAAATATGTTTCAATTAATAATTTAAGTAATTTTATTATTATATAGGAGAGAAATCATGAATTTTATTTTTTCAGTTAATTCCGTTAAATAAAATTTTTTAATAAGAGAGCATTTGTAATTTTTCAAATCACAGGGACTAATCTGTATTTTAAGCAAACCTTAGGAGGTGTATTTGTAATTTACCCAAAAAACTATATTGAAAAAGTATAAACAAATTGTAAAGTATCTTAAAATTTAAATTTTTTTTATTGAATTTAGTAATAAATACTTCGAGAGAAAATGATTCTGACTAGTCAAAATCATATTCGGGGAGAGAAAATTGTGTGGATGAATTATTTTGGTTTTGCACAATTTTAGATTTTAATCATCTTGTTTGGTTTTGTTTTTTTTTTGAAAATAATTTTTTATTTTTTTTATTTTTGGTGAATTTTTTTAACTATTTGGGTAAATTACATTGACAACCCTTGAGGTTTGGTCCAATTAATACTCACCCCTTGACATTTTGCAAATTACATTCCCACCCATGTGGCTAATAGTCTTATTTTCAAATCCCTTGCTTATATAAAAGGTAACAACTCTTAGTAGAAAACAGAAGAAATTACATTAAAAAAAAAGTAAAGGAAATTAGGAAAAAAAAAAGAAAATAAAGCAAAGCAAAAAAAAGAAGAGTGCATAAGTTCAATGTCTTCATTCCGTCTAAATAATTACAATGACATGGGCGTTAGTGTAATTTTTCAAATGTCAGGGGATGATATTGATTAAATCCAAATCTTAGTGGGTGTAAGTGTAATTTACCCTAAATATTTTAAGTAATTTTTTATTTTTTTAATTGGACATAACTTAGATGCATTTAAAAATAAAATATTTATAAAAAAATTACAAAAATTCAATTAATACATAAGAACACGAAAATATATTAAATTTTTTATATTTTTTTGTATTTGATGAATTTTTTTAAAAATTGTTTCATAAATATTATCTTTTTAAAATATATATAGATTAGATTAGATATATTTAAAAGATATATATTTTTTAATATATTAAATTTTTTCGACAAAAAACAAATACACAAAAATAAAAAATTATTTTTAAGGTAAATACGATCCGAATCGTTGAAATTACGATTTGAATCCAGATTTTGACCACTTTTCCAATTGGCCTTGAATAAATAGAAAGTGTCAGCTATTTTTGCATAAGTTATATTAATATGATATATTTTTATTATTATGATTAGTAAAAAGTAATAAAATATGAATTATAATATTAAATATTTAAAAATATTAAAAATATATATATTTATGATTAATGGGAAGATTGTGAGCTATTTTGAAAAAATGATTATAATCAGTTTTTTTATAAAAAATTACTTATAAACAACTTATAAACAACTTTTTTGTGAGAAAGGAAGTGAGCTATAATCCGAAAAGTGAATTATAACTCACTTCCCAAAAAAGGCCAGTACCAAATACAAAACTTTTGAGAAAGTGAATTTTTATTTTTTATTTTTTATTTTTTGGGTGAGTGGTAGTACTGCATAGAACTCGAACACGCAACCACTGCGAATGCATGTAGAGTGCTGCTGGAGAGCTCTAATTAGAGCTGCTACAGTGCAACTCTAATGAGCTGGCAACTTATAAAAAAAAAAAAAATAGCACATTTTGGCCACACACTAAAAACTTTGACATGTGATCACGAATTTTAAAAAATAGCCAATAAGTTCAGATATATTAGAAACTATAATACTGTGATTACTTCAGATCACCAATGTGAGTCATAGCGGTTATATAACATTTATGTCATATTTCCTTCTATGCACTACACCATC